GACATTTCCACGCCCCGAAACGTGACGATGAACGAAACGAACTGTGATTGGTTGTTTGACATGTCGGTCAAACGGCCTCATGGGCGGGCCTTGGCCAATGAAAGCTGCCATGGATTCCAGACTGACGGCTGAAGGTCTGGCTACGCGAGACTATATACACTATAGGGCCTTTCGCACCGCTTTAGTTCCAGAACTAAATGTACAGTACTAAAGTACTGGGACGATTTTGCGCGAACTATTTCCCAGTACTATTTAAAGGGTTGCATTCGCATCGAGAGTGTGTACTAAGCAGTGACGTAAGCCGGTCGACAGCGTCGTCATTTGTGCGCGGCGTTCAACAACAGAAACAAAGAACAACATTAACAACAGGAGGACGCTGTGATCGGAGCTGTGTTGTTGTTGTTGTGTCTTGCGGGTTTCACAATAATGGACATGGAAAGTCGACGTATACGTAAAGCGATTGAAAGAACGGAAAGGAGGACTAAGAATCTCCAACGACAACTGACAGTGCTACAAGTGCCTGCACTTCAGCGGCCGTCCATCTATCGCTGTTCTCCATACTTGCGAAATAAGTTGACACAATGCTTACAGTATGTTTACACGGCGTTTTAAATCATGGCGGGTGAGGGCGTTTTCATACGCGTTTGGCCAATCAATGTCTACTTGCGTCGCGATTAGTACCAGTTGTGCTGGTTAGACCCTGCTCCGGAGTAGGAGCTAATTTGGTTCTCGAAAAAGGCAGTCCGGTACTAAAATCGCACCCAGTTCCGGCGGTGCGAAAACGCCAAAAAGTGGGTAGTTCCACAATTAGTTCTGGTACTATGAAAAGGTTCCCGCGGTGCGAAAGGCCCTTATAACACTGATAATACCAAACATTGCATGCTCTTCTATAAATTTATAAATGGGTGAAACTACAGTTACAGATGTTTACTAGGTTATATATTTCTGTAAAATCCATATTTACATTGCAGTCAAAAATTTGTTAAGAATTTTAAATATCTATATGTATTTACGTTAATGATTCATCAATTATTTGGTTGTTAATTTTACTGAAAATCTCTATTATGATTATGAAAATGTCTAAAAATGCACATCCCTAATTCAGATTTGTTTGATTCTGTTGATTACTCTCATTCACTCTAACTGAATCTGCTGGGGTTCAGAGAGCATGTGAGGGGTCAGCAGAGGTCATGACCTGCGGCAGGAAGCCGGTCTCCAGCAGCAGCAGATGCACCGTCAGCATCAGACAGTCAGACGGGTTTCTGCAGCTCGACGAGTCCAGCAGTCGCTCCAGCGCGTGAGGAATCACTCCATCCTCCGTCTCACAGCACAGCAGTGGCGGAGACACACCCTCCTCATCCTCCATCCACTCCTCCATCCCAGAATCCCTCACACTGCTGCTGTCCGATCCACCGCCACCGCTGGCTTCAGCCTGAGACACACACACAGACACAGGCTGCTCTGAGGACTCAAACACACACACACACACAGGCTGCTTTGAGGACTCACACACACACACTCTCTCTCTCTCTCACACACACACACACAAACATGCTGACTCACGGCATCAGGTTCTTTGTCATTTCAGTTTCTTTTCTTTGGTTCTTGTTGTTTATAAAATAATGCTAGCAGTACAGTTTTAGGGCCGTGTGAAATCTGTTTCGTTTTTTCCACAAATTCTGTGATTACTTATTTAATTTTTTAATTACATTTAAATGATCAAAAATTATGCATTCAATTGAATTCATAAAACTTTACCAATTTATTAATATATTAACATTATACATTTTAACAATAACAGTGAAATATAAAATGAATTTTTTTGTAATTTAATACACATTTATTAACAAAAAGTATGTATAATTAATTAAACTCATAAAACAATTGAATAATTTATTAAACTATAAACAATAATAGTGCCCTATTAAATGGGTTTTATGTTTTCAGAAATTAAGTTTTGTCTGCTTATATTTATATGGATTCTGTGTTTTATGATTTACAAAAACAACGGTAATCAAATAAATGATAAAACTTTAACAATTTAATAATTCATAATAATTTTAACAATAATAGTGCCCTATGAATCTTATTTATTTATTTGTGAGAAATTCTGTGTTGTCGGTTTTAATTTTCTGGATTCTGTGTTTTATGATTTATCATACAATTGCATCAAATCAGGGTTATTATAGTTAACTAAAACTAAACCCATTTAAAATGCTACTTTAAATAAAATAAACATTAACTGAAATAAAAATAAAACCTTAAACTTCTTTTAATTTAGCTAGTTTCATTTGATGTACTAAAATAACTTTAACTGAAACTAAAATTAACTTAATTTGAACACGTTTAAAAAAAACAAAGAGGAAAATAATAAAAACTAATTCAAAATATGAATAAAATCTATAATAGGATCTCGATACTAAAATAACACTGAATCAACTGAAAACTGAGCAATTCCTTTTATTTTGTGTATATTACGTATTAACGTCCTATGTGAGGAACAACATTTCATTTCTTTGTATGTCACTACACACAGCGAAATGACAGTAAAGCTTATTTGACTTGATTTTTTGGCAAAAAAAGTGCTGCACAATAGTGGTCTACTGTTTAAATTAACACATGAATTAAAAATTGCTTCGTGAGGTATGTTTCTGGGTCTGAGCTCACCTCCTCACTGGATGCGGCTGCGCCTCCTGCTCCGCTCGGGGTTTCTGGGGCAGTTTGTATTTGCTCAGGCAAAATCACAGTGATCATATCACCAGAAACAACCCCACACGAGGAGAGCGTCTGTCCCGTGTCCAACAGAACCTCCTTTCCGTTCAGAGACAGACTGAACTCCACATCAGCCCTGTGCAGAGAGAGACAGAGGCAGCACATGAGAGCTGCTTCAGATGGACGGAAGTGAAAGTGTGAGCAACATGACTGTACAGATCGACTCAAACCCATATCGAAAATCCAGCTAATAATACCAGATATTATGATAACCAGCATCACTCACATGCATTCAAAACCAGTGTGGGGGGGGGGAGTTACTTTAAAGGGGTCATATGATGCTGCTAAAAAGAAGGTAGATATGTGGGGGCGTGTTAGAACGAGCCGTTTTAGGGGGGTGTGGCTAACTCTTAACTTTTATAAAGAATATCTCTTTGGATTTGAGACTTTAGTCTTTGCAACTTTACAGATCTTCTTTATGCACCAAGAGCTTGTAACACTCTAAAGAGAAAGGAAAAAATGAAATCGCATCATATGACCCCTTTAAAAGTAATGCATTATAATATTGCGTTAAAAGTAACTAATTAAGTTACTAAAGTAATGCGTTACGTTACTTTTGAGTTACTTTTTAAATCTGGGCAGAGCTTGCTTGTTTGTTTTTAATATAAAAAGTTGTTCTTTTACAAATGCAAAAGCCCTTTCACCCCAAAAGTGAAATGAATGCGCCTCAGGCTGCAGGAAATGTAAATTCACGTCTGTACAATAGAGGGCGCCGCTCAAACAAATCTCATGAAGAATATGACGCAGGAGAAGAAAGTTCAATAGTGTTCAACAAAAAATAAAACACAAATGTATCATTTTTGCTCATTAGTATGGTTGAAGTGGATCATCGAATGTCAGTAGCAAAGACACTGGTTAATAAAATGGGATTAAACAAATTATATTTGTCTTATTTAACATTATTAATTATTGCAGGTTTGTATAATATCTTGAGAGTTCGCATTTGATGGTTTTTATTCATTTTGAGGAATACTCAATCTGTTTTTGTGCATGTGAAATCAATGCATGTTGACTAGTCTAGAACTACAGTAAGATGTCTCTGCACTTACTCCTGATTTCTGTCACCATGGCAACACCAGAGCTGTCACTCAATACATGGGAAACAAAGTAACTGCCGTTACTTATTTGAAAAAGTAACTCAGATATTTCCTTCCAAATTAAAAAATAATGCGTTACTTTACTAGTTACTTGAAAAAAGTAATCTGATTACGTAACTTTCGTTACTTAACGCATTACCCCCAACACTGTTCAAAACACAACATGGGCTGTAAATCATCAGAACACAACTAATGTTAATCCATACCTGATTAGAAACCCCAAACCTAACACATACAACCAAGAGAAGCATCTCAAACTCACCCCAGTCCGCACCGAGGCAGCAGGGCGTCTCTGACCCGGGCTCTGAGCTCGGACAGCGTCGGTTCTGGTCCGTCCAGCTCCAGTCTGCTGCTCTGTTTGTTGATTCTCACCCTGAGCTTCATTCTGCACTGAAGCAAAGCAGATCCGCGCTCACATTCACTTTCATTTCGCTGTCGGAGCATCATGTGACGTCACTGAAACTCAGCAAACATCATCTTTGATAATAATTAACCTTTACTTAACAGCCGAGCTATAAAGCAGTATTTCAGCGTCAGTTACTGCATTTAGTCCAGTGTTATTAGGCCACTGCAAATTAAACAGTAAAAGCCTCTGCTGAATGTGTTTACATTTAATTAAAACAGAACAAAAATAAACATACCTTTCACACACACGTCAAAGTAGCGCAGTGAAGCCAGAAAAGTCCGCGGCCGAACAAAACAGCTGAGCGAGATTTTCAAAATAAAAGTCCCGCAATTACGTCATTAAGTTTATTATTATTATTATTAATGGTTTATTAATTCAATGCCACAAGAACAAGAGGTATTACATATTCATATGATCAAATTAACATTAGCTGGCAGAGAAAAAAGAAAAGGGAAGAAAAAAAAAAGAAAGGAAGAAAATTACATAAATTTCAACGCCAAAAAAGTCAGAATTGTGAGATAAAAAGTCGCAATTTCCTTTTTTTTTTTTTTTATTCAGTGGCGGAAACGGGCTTCCATAATAACTCTCTGACGACAGCGCACTCTTCTGATGTAATTTTTGCTCATCTGTTTGCGAGCAGCAGGTGGCGCTGAAGATCCCGAGCAAACCCGCGGCAGTCCATATAAAACTAGAGAAGAAGAAGGAATATCCGGAAAAGTCTGAGAATATAGTTTGCTGTCAAAAGTGCGTCTATTATTTCTATTTTAAAATGAATCGCACTTATAACGATGAGCTTCAGTATCTGGATAAAATCCACAAAAACTGCTGGCGGATCAAGAAGGGCTTCGTGCCGAACATGCAGGTAAATCAGCCGTCAGAACCGCAAACGTGTTCACTGTCGCATATATAAACATGAATAAACCCAAATATCCAATCACTACATTACAACATTAGTTGTACAGTATTTTATTGCGGGGTCTCTGTGCTGATTATTAACGTTGGCTGTTTTATTCAGCTGTAATGTGTTCGTACATCAGGTTATTGTGGTTGTAATATTAAATGTAGTTTAAACTGAATGAAGTGCTGAATAATGCTTTGGTCTTCAGGTGGAGGGTGTTTTCTATGTGAATGATCCTCTGGAGAAACTCATGTTTGAGGAGCTGAGAAACGCCTGTCGTGGTGGAGGTGAAGTTACAGCACACTTTTGATTTGATTTTTATTAAATAATCTATACAAACACTTTGGCAGCAACAGTATATGTATATATAGTTAAATTAAAACATAAGGTTGGTTTGGTTCATGGCTTAGAAATGATTGAGAAATACTTAAAGATGTTTAAGAAATGTTTAGAAAATAAAAATAAAAGGGCATATTTTAAATTAATTTAGCAGAGACAGTTCTTTGGGCTTTACGATTTTTTAAAGACTTTATAGATTCTAAATAAGCTTTAAAGGCCGTTTGAAAATGAGCAAAATTGGGTTTAAGTTACTCCATTTAGTTTGATGAGTATAACAATGTCCTAATAGCAAAAACAGATCAGTAATAAATATTTTCCTTTCAGAAAAGCCATATTCATTTGAACGAAGTAAAACAAATGATGAATTTAAGACTAGGATGCAGTTCATTTTTACAAAGAAAACCAAAGAAGTGTCCTTTAAAATTGCTCAGAAACATTAGAGCGTTTCCATCTGGATATAGATTACAAATGCATTTTCTGTAATTGTAAAAAAGTCTATTGTGCATTTATTTTTTTGAATGTTAAGTTTAGGTTGAACTAAAATTACGAATGGGAAATAAATAAAATAAAATTAAACGAAACCTAAACAGTAATATTTAAAATAAATGACTTGCTATTAATTTTTTTTAAGCTTAATATTTAATTATTATATGATTAACATATTTACCAGTGCAGCCTATATTTTATTTTTTAATAAACTCATCACATTGAGCTGATTGAAATGGTAACTGTTTAAATTACATATAAAATGTGAGACAATGTTAGTGAAAAATACCACTTATAAAGCGGAGAGTTCCGGTGCTTGATTCTGATTGGCTGAGCCGCGTTCAAAGCTGATGTAAATTACTCTACAAACACACACCTTTGTTTACTTCTGTGTGTTGCTCGGCAACCACTTTGTTGCAACCACAACTGTTTCTGAGGAGCTACATTGTTTGGTGGAAGAATACTGTTTTTATTAATATCATTACACTTTATTTGCTCTGTTTTATTTTGTGAAAACTTACTACGTATATGTGAATAACCGTTTTATAAAAGCAATAAGCCCCGTGAAGCCGTGGTTTACAGTGAATTTATAACAGCTTCATGTCGTGCCTAACAACGCCCCTTAGCTGTAATAAATTAACTGTAAACCACGGCTTCACGGGGCTTATTGCGTTATTTCACAGGGTTTGGTGGTTTCTTGCCTGCTATGAAGCAAATTGGAAACGTCGCTGCCCTGCCAGGAATCGTACATGTGAGTTAAACGATCAAGATTTATGGTGACAGGAAACGCATCATGTTGCTTTATCCTGTTTCTCATTCTCAGCGGTCCATCGGTTTACCTGACGTTCACTCCGGATATGGTTTTGCTATCGGAAACATGGCTGCGTTTGACATGGACGACCCAGAGGCCGTGGTGTCTCCCGGTGCGTAATCGAGCCGCGTTCAGATTCACGTTAACGATGTGGCGGCTCACGGTTCGTCTCGTCTGCAGGTGGCGTGGGGTTTGACATTAACTGTGGCGTCCGTCTGCTGAGGACTAACCTGGACGAGGGCGACGTGCAGCCGGTGAAAGAGCAGCTGGCGCAGTCCATGTTTGACCACATTCCCGTCGGAGTCGAATGTATTGTTGGCTATTGCTACAAATATACCCCAGCGACTTAAGACTGCTTTAGTGCTCCAGGGTCACATATAGTCATTTAGCAGATGCTTTTATGCAGTGACTTATCATTCCCGTCGGAGTCGGATCCAAGGGCGTCATTCCCATGGGAGCAAAGTAAACAATACCGCACAACCATACCATTTACAGTGTCAGAGGCCTTTTTTTGCTTTTTGTTAATTGTATAATAAATAAAAAGAAAATAAATACATAGAATACAAAAAGAATAGCACTTCTTCATTTTGCAGTCTTTTTCTACCTCAATTTATGTTTTTGCTCTGAACTTGGCAACAGTGATTTAATTGTTTATTGCGAAAAAAATAAAATGCTTAACTTAACCGTTATATGCACTAATATAACTGAACATCATAAATACCAATGGAGCCTATATTTATTACTAAAAGATTTTAATGCATGAAATATGTTTTGTGAATATTTGAATAATGATGCAACTAAAATTACTAACTGGAAAAAACTAAAACTGAAATAAAATTAAATGAAACCTGAACGGTACTCTGAAGAAAAAAAAAAAGCATATAAAATTAGTGCCGTCAAACGATTAATAGCATCCAAAATAAGTTTTTGTTTACATAATATATGTATGTGTACTGTGCATATTTATTATGTATTTATATACACACACATACAGTGTATATTTTGGAAGTATTTACATGCATATACATTTATATATTTATATTTAATATATAAACATAACAGTTTTCTTAAATATATACATGCATGTGTTTGTATTTATATATACATAATAAATATACACAGAACACACACATATTATGTAAACAAAACTTTTATTTTGGATGCGATTAATCGTTTGACAGCACTACATTAAATTAATGTTAATTAAACCAATTAAATAAACTGAATATATAAGAAAGCCAATTCAAAATATGAATACACTATAATAGTAAATAAATAATACTTGTTGCCTTGGCAATAAACTTAAATAAGTTCAGTAAGTTAAAACACTAGAACAGAAATAAAAATAAATTAAACCTTAATAGTAATAAAAACAATACAAATGGCAAAAGCACACACAATTAATTACATTAATTTCAAATTAGAACTTGATTCAAATGAAAACTGAAAATACAAAAATAAAAGCGAATTCAAATTAATACAGTATAAATAATACTGTGATGATGAAATTAAGTTGAAGCACTAAAATTATTTAACTGGAAAATAGCAAACTGAAAATATTAAATTGTAATCAGTGTTCATTTTGACAGGCATTTTTGATTTAGTCTTAGTCTTTATCTTGAGACGAAAATGCTTAATGTCTTTCATAGTTTTAGTCGACGAAAAGTCATTAAATTTTTGTCAACTGTAACAATGTAGTCTTCAAACAAAAATACAATTAAACTGTGTACAAAAGGTAGTTTTACAGTCCTGAGTCTGAGAGAGATAATACAATTATAGTTTTACTCATATTATGAATTGGCTTTTGTTCTTTTATCGTCATTAATTTTATGCACTTTGTTTTTGTGTTTTCACGAGCGCTGTGTGTGTGTGTGTGTGCAGAGATCTGGAGGAAGCTCTGGAGATGGGTGTGGACTGGTCTCTGAGGGAAGGATATGCCTGGGCCGAGGATAAAGAGCACTGTGAGGAATACGGCCGGATGCTGCAGGCCGATCCCAACAAAGTCTCGTCCAAAGCCAAGAAGAGAGGACTGCCACAGGTGCACGCATTTACAAGACAACACAACACAAAGCCCAGCAAATTCTCTCCGATCTCATGTCATGTTCTCCTGCTGTTGTGTAGTTGGGGACGCTGGGTGCAGGAAACCACTACGCCGAGATTCAGGTGGTGGATGAGATCTACAACGATTACGCTGCGAAGAAGATGGGCATCGACCACAAGGGACAGATCTGTGTGATGATCCACAGCGGCAGTCGAGGCCTCGGCCACCAGGTGGCCACAGGTGAGCGGCACAGGTCTTACTTTAATATCCAGATACTATTAGAGGTTTCATTTTTATTAACATTTTTTCATTTGAATTAGTTTTTTTGAAAATGTCTATATAGTTTTTTAGAATTTTTTTAAGTGTTAATTTATTATTTTTAGTTTATTTTATGTTTGTTCATTTAAATTTTTTGTTAATTGTTATTCAATTTTATTTCAGTTAAGGATTATTTTTGTCAAGCAACAATTTTATGGTTTTAATTAACTATAGTTAAAGTTTTAGACATTTTGTTGTGTTTTTTGTCATTTTTATTAGTTTTTTTTTAAATGTCTTAATTTGTTTCAATTTTAGTTTATTTAGTTAATTAAATTTTATATATATATTTCAGTTAAGGATGATTAAGTCTTAGTTTTAGTTAATTATATTAAAGTTTGACTTTAAAAAAAAAAAAATCAAAAATATTTTATTTCAGTAAAGGACTCAACTTTTTTTTTTTTTGTTAAAAGTTAAAGTTTGTCATTTTGATGTGTTTATTTTTCTTAGCAAAATTTGTAAATAGTTTTTGTAATTTTTTTAGTCTATTATTTTAATTACATTATTCATTTTAAAATATTTTACTTCAGTTCAATTTTATTTCAAGTAACAATATTTTTATGGTTTGTTAACGGCAGCGGCTATTTACACTAAGTGAAAATAGCAGTATTTTTAACAATATGCTATTTACACTAAGTGCAGATAGCGATAGATTCTATTTACACTGTTAAAATAGCAGGATTTTCTGCTATTTACACTACTTACTGCAAATAGTGGCTATTATCTGCACCTCAGTATTATAGTACATTATAAAACAGTATGCAGTAATAACGTATTGAGTGTGAATGATAATTTTAATTCAAATTATTAAATGGATGTCACCTTATTGGGACAAAGCCCTCACTACACCTACCTGATACTTTATTTTCAACTTTTTGATTATTTCCTTCATTTTTATTGAAAATAAATGCCTTTCCGATGCGATATGAGATTTGAAAAGGGAGAAAAAAAATTTGGTAAAAGGCGGATTCGAACTTTTTTTTATAGTGTTGACCATCCCTATCACACGTTTGTAGGTGGAGCTAGTGTAAATAGACACTCCGTTTAGTTAACTATAATAGCCCTGCTTGACATTCCTCACTCTGGCGTTCAGATGCTTTGGTTGCGATGGAGAAGGCGATGAAGCGGGATAAGATCACGGTGAACGACCGTCAGCTGGCCTGCGCTCGCATCACGTCTCCTGAGGGTCAGGACTATCTGAAGGGCATGGCGGCCGCCGGCAACTACGCCTGGGTCAACCGCTCCTCCATGACCTTTCTCACCCGCCAGGTGAATTCTCACACTCACAGGGAATACAATAAAATATCACTTACCAGTCCTGTGGTGTACAGTGCTTAGTGTGCATGGAAAAATGACAGTACATTTGTGACCCTGGAGCACAAAACCAGTCATAAGGGTACATTTTTCGAAATTGAGATTTATACATCATCTGAAAGCTGAATAAATAAGCTTTCCATTGATGATATGAAAGCTGAATAAATGAGCTTTCCATTGATGTATGGTTTGTTAGGATAGGATAATATTTGGCCGAGATACAACTATTTGAATATCTGGAATCTGAGGGTGCAAAAAAATCTAAATATTGAGAAAATCATCTTTAAAGTTGTTCAAATGAAGTTCTTAGCAATGCATATATTACTAATCAAAAATTAAGTTTTTATATATTTACGGTAGGAAATTTACAAAATATCTTCATGGAACATGATATTTACTTAATGTCCTAATGATTTTTGGCATAAAAGAAAAATCTATAATTTTGACTCGTACAATGTATTGTTGGCTATTGCTACAAATATACCCCAGCGACTTAAGACTGCTTTTGTGCTCCAGGGTCACATATAAATATAGTCGAGCAGCCCTAGATGTTTTAAGCATGCAGAACATGTGCATACTTTGTACTCTACACAAACTGCAAGAACAGCATGATAACATCCCATGAGAGTTTTGCCGCTGAACGCGTTCGCACTGACCTTCACTGCAGGCCTTCTCCAAAGTCTTCAACACCACACCAGACGATCTGGACATGCACATCATCTACGACGTCTCGCACAACATCGCCAAGGTGGAAGAGCACATGCTGGAGGGCAAACAGAAGACGCTTCTCGTGCACCGGAAGGGATCGACGCGAGCGTTCCCGCCTCACCATCCACTCATACCTGTCGACTATCAGGTGACTTCATTTGCACCAAATCAAATGTAACTCTGTTTACTTTAATTCTTGTTCCAGTGGCCTGTAGCACGAAGCCGGTTTTGGTTTTTACCCAGGCAAGTTCGCGTTTAGTTTGAGCAGACTCTTGAGTTTTTGGGCTCAAGAAGATGGGTTGGTTTGGAGCGGGTTTTGTCAGCTCTTCGTCAGCAAACTCTGCTCCGGAACAGGTTTTATTCTGGTTTAGAGATCGCAAACCCAAACTGGACCAATCGCGTTCCCAAACAGCAGCATCCGCCTCCGAACGCAATGACCGCATTTATTTTGTTTCGTCTGCTCGCTCTGAGGCGCAGGTAATTTAATATTTAGGCCTATGAAGATTAATACTTATATCGAATTTTGTGAGCCCGCTGATCCTGTTTGGTTTTGTCAACTCTAAACCTACTCTGAAACTCATCTCGCTCCGTGCTACAGGCCACAGGATTTCTTGTGAACGATTAATGCATGTTATTCTGAAAGTTTGGAAATGACTTTCCTTTCGATGTGGTTTTCTCTTACAGTTGACCAGTAGACACTTTACTTACATTTAATGTGCTTTCTATGGACATAAAATAATTTCTTTTGATGCGAACATCTTAACGTCTTTGACCCTTATATTAATAATTATAATGGTTTATAATTCATATAATAAATTCATATAATTATTATATTAAGTGGCAATTGATTTTAAGCTTTGCATTTAAATTATATTAAATATAGATACATATAGATAAGCTTTAATATATCCAATTTTTAAAATGACTAAACTAATGTTTTCCTTTTGAGCTCTGTGTGAAACTATATATATAATTAATTCAGTTGATTCCTTTGCATAGTCACATTTTCTTTCTGCTGCCTTCTCAAACTTTTACTGCAGCAGAAGTGTTTATTCCTGCCTTGTAAGTGCATTTAAGTTTATTTTTAATAATGACAAATCTCTTAAATTATCAGCAGAAAAGTGAATTGCGCCGACTCTCGCGAGAAGTGAATCAAACTCCACGTTCCGCACACTTCACACTTTCAGATGCACGCGCTCCAGAGTTAATCTCATTAGCTATGTTTCCATCACCCTGCTTTTATGCGCATTTTGATGGAAACGGCAAATTTCGAATAAAAATCCCTTAATTCGCAAAAATGTTTTTACGCTCACTTGAGGTGGTTTTTAACTTGTGCGAAAAAGGGTTAATGCGAATAAAAGTAGATGGAAACGCATTTGCCAAGTAAATTCCTCCATGCGCATCAAAAAAGTAATGTGACTGCACTATGGGACGGCAAAACCTAACCAGTGGACC